TTTCCAAACTCCCTGTTTTGGGCCAAAGCTGATAGCAGTGATTGATTGTATAGGTTGATTTTAACAGATCCAAAGGGTCGTCCAGTGAACAGATCGGTTCGGCTCATCTGCCTCTGTACCTGCGGGAGGGGTGCAGTTGGATGGGGTAATTTTTCAAATCTGTTAGGAGCCATTTGCACGTGACTTCTGAGAGATGAGGATGAGCAACCTGATTTATAGTGCGTGTGAGCTGGCGACCCAGTGAGGTGTGCGGTGCCCGAGTGTGCCCTTGCTTCCCCTAGGCACTGCTGTAAGCAAAGGCGGTTCCTGAAGCCTGCACTAACCTAAATTTTTCTGTAGCTTCCCACTGTTCCTCGTGGCAGCAGCTGTATCCAGGAGCTGTATCCAGGGCACATGAGTGTTCCCCGGTCCCCAAGTGTGTGCAGGCAGGCGACAGTCGTGCTGTTTTGCCAGGACGGTGTGCGCTCTTATTTTTGGCTTCAGAAGCAGCTGGAAGCAGGAATTGGAACGCTGACATTTGCTACATGAGGAGTAACCTCTGCTTTCCTTTCCCCTCTCTCTCCCAAATCTGTGGCGCTTCCTACTCGGGGGGCACATCCACACCCCCCCTCCCAGAGCTGCCTCTCGTGCTCCTTTCAGCGGTTTGCTGGAAGCGCGGTCATCAGGAGAGGGGATCGAAGCAACGCGTCTGTCAGGTGCGAGGCAGATTGTACCATCTAATCCCCCGGCTGTCGTCTGCAGCATTTGTCAGGGCCTCCGCTGGCCGGCTCCATTTCATCAGAGGTATCACTAGCATTCATCTAGGCTGGCAGCATTTCAACAGCTGTTAATCCTCTTTGTATCTTTAAGCACTGTGACCACTGACAAGCTTCTATACTCTGAGGTGTCAAAATATCTCAAGATAGCTGTGGTGATGGTGGTTGGGTTTTGTTTCTTTTTTCTTTTTTTTTTTTTTTTAATCCAAACACCTTCTGATCTATTGACCCAGACTGAACCTGATGGAGAATTCTGTGTCCCAGTGTCAGGTTTTTGCTGCTGCTGCTTGATGTTCACAAGGAATTTTGCCTGAAGTCTGATTAATTTCTAGTTCCTCACGCTTGCATTGCTTGGTTTTCTGTTTTACATGTTACCACAAGTAGTGCATGTTTCACTGAAGTTGTAAGGAATGTGGTTTAATGTCAACGTGAGAATGAGCTGGCAGTGTTTTCTCTATATGCTTCAATTACTTTCCCTCCTGAAATAACCCTGAGAATTCTGTCTTCTGCTACATTGTTTTCTTACTTTCTTCACTATATGTTGTGGAAAGGTCCTGGGCAGCGTAGCGAGGTGTAGTAGTGAGTGTTGGAGTTTCTCTGCATGTTTGGAGCCAAGGAGGAATGTTGAATTAAATTTACTCCAAATTTAGCTCTGAGTTTTAAAATTGATTCCCTTTGGAAGGGGAATTTTTAGTGCAAGGGTGTTTTGGGAAGAGTGAGGAGCAAGATTATAGCAGTAAATCTGTTGTAGAGAAGCAGTAGGGTAAAGGAAAGTGGTTCTGTTGATCTTTAGGCGCTAGTTATGTATTTTTATAACTTCTTGGTGTTTTTATTATTTGCTACGAACCATCATTTAATAGCAGGGGAAAATCTTTCAAACTAACATTTTTTTGTTTAGTTTGTTTGTCCTCTCTGGAGAGCGCTCTTCCCATATGACAAAGCTCTGATGTTCTGAAGTTGGCTCCCCTAAGGCTCAGCTTTATTGAGAGAAGTGAAACATTTTAGGTGGTTCATTCATTCTTTCCATGTCTGTTGTTATTTGAGCCCTTATGGTGTCCTTTGGTCATGTTTTTAAACTTATTTCTGCAACTAACACTGCCAGAAGCTTTATTTAATAATAGTTGAGGTCTCATGTTCAACTTTTTCTTTGTGAGCTGCCATTTTATCTCAAGCATCAAATATTGTGAGAGTAAATTAAAAGCAGTGTTGATGCCTTGTAATTTTGTGTTGAATGTTCTCGTTTACTGTGGAACTGAATATTGTTTTATGAAGCTAAAGGACTTCACTAAGACGATGAGCAGCTCAGACTTTGTTTCAAGTGCAAATGCCACAGGTTGATGCTGCTGAGTAGCCCCTGTGTGTGGGTGTCGCTGCTGAAGTCGTTGGAGGTGCACAGGTGGTTCCTGACTTGGTTTCTCATTTTCAACCTTATAATAAAGTCCTAGATTTTTGTAGGACATTGGAAGGTTATTCCCTGCCACAGTGTGGTAGGTAAAATACTGAAACTGAAGCAGATCTTGCATCTGAAGTTGAATAGATGAGGATACTTGGAAAATTATTGTCTGTGAGGAGAAGCCCCAAATCACAGAAGCTGCCATGACTGCCCGTGCTGAAAGGACTGTCTGTTACCCACTGAGCCCATTTGTTGCTCATTTAGTGTTTAGGACAAAAGTGAACCACACGTTCCCAAGGTAGGAGAGGGCCTAGAGGCCAAGGAAAACCTGTTTAACAAGTCTGCTTGTTGAACTAACTTCGGCTTAAATGGTAAAACTCCATTTTTCTTACTTGGGTAAGCATTTAAAGATACTGATTCATAGCACTGGAAATACTGCTTCATTGGCTTTTAGGGATTTTGGTGGAGAGGGGGGAAGAAGGTGGCAGAGAGATCAGATCCAAGGGCAAGAGGTCCAGTTGGATCACATGCAAAGATGCTTCCTTTTAATTTTTAAAACTCAGCAGCTTTCATCATCAGGTTGAAGGTCTTCTGTGCCCCTCCTTGATCTTTGCATTGTGCCATGTTTCTTGTGGTTTCTTTGAGGCCAGATCTCTCCTTTCCCTCACCAAAGTTCTTGCCTCTCTGTTCAGGATCTCACTTGTCTGCTTATATCAGCTTTAGGATCCAGAGCTATTTCATACTGGTTTCTTTCCCAGCTATTTTTGTCCATGTTTGTAGTTGATGATGTTGCAGATGGGTCTGACCATAGTACTGGGAAGTTGAACTCTCTCTCTAATAAACTAGGCAAGGTTGTGCCCCAACCACTTTAATCGACAATGCATCCAGTAAATGAATCTGTTGGCTATTTTTTCTTTCTTTAGGTAGGTTAAATGCCAGCCTCATGCTGGGTCTCACGTACAACATATTTGTTCCTGTTTTCCTCTCCTGCTGCTGTTTCACTGCAGAGTGCTGCAGGCTAATAGTATCTGATGGGGCTACTTCCTATTGCCTGAAAAATGTTTAATTTTACTACCTTGCTTTCTCTCTTTCCCACTTTCTCTCATTTTGATCTCTCAAATCCAGTCCCTTTGAGAAATCAGACAGTATGAAATAAAAAAATTGCTTGGGTAGTAATTGGAGAAACGGTGAGACTTATGAAACCCATGGAGATAATGCTTATATCTACTTATTCACATTATTTAATTTTTAATGGCAAATTTAATTAATGAAGCACAGGTCTTGTGGTTTCATGTGTGAATAAAGAACAGCAGGGAGCTGAGAGCCATGAGGTCTGTTTACAGGACAGAGAAAAAGGCTCCATTAAAAGCTGAACTTTTCATTATAGGAAGGAGTATATGGGTTTAATAGCATAGAAGTTTGACCATTATATAACAAGTAAGTAAATGAAAACTTTAATGACAATTTGCTGGCAAAATGCATTTTGAAGTGGTTACTCATCCATGATTTCTCAGTTTAAGTCTGTCTCCTAGGTCAAAGTTTGGAAAAGCAAAGTCTGTTCTGTGGGTTTTTTGGTATGTGACATAAATTCAGGCACCAGAGATAAAATGCTTAAATATAGCACCTTGAAGCCTGGGCTCTGAAAACCTGTATAAACCTTCCAATTAGCTAAGCTTCACACAACTTCAGTGATACAGGCAGCTGTTATCCTTCGCTTGCAGATGGAAAATGGTGACTTGCCCAAGATTGCACAAGTGGCAGAACCGCTAATAGAACTTGAGTTATATCTGTCCTTTCCTTTTTCTAACCACTGAACAATATGTGTCGTCTCATCATGCGCAGGACCACAGCTGCATTTATGGGAAAATAAATGAAGAAGGGCAAGAATAGTATTCTATATAAAATGACCAAATTTGGGGAGAGATGAGATAGCAGCTAGAACCAGCTCTAAATGAATAGCTGTCCTCGCTTTCAAAACCATTTTGTCACTTTTTTGATTGATTATTGCATATTTTCTACATGTGCCTTTTCAGACTAAGGGCCTTGCAGATGAGCTTTGAGTGAGGCAATTGCAGCTATTTCAGTATAAAGTCCAGAGGCTTTGCCTAAAGCAGCTTTATCAGCAGTTTAGTGACACAAGACCTTGCAGTGAAGTCGCTGGGGGTGCGCAGCCATTCCCTTCTGCTGTTTGTGCTTGGGAGGCTTGTAAGTGCAGCCAGGAGGAGGAATTCATCCTCTGTGTTCAGTGGCTGAGCAGTTGTGAACTAAAACTTTCTGTGCAAGCTCAGGAGAATTTAATGCAAACCTCTTAAGCCCTGCAGCAAGACACTCCAGACTCTGTTTGGCAGTGCCTTAACTGATACCTGATATGCCTCCCTATGTTGTTAAAAGGGAAACAGGCTGCATAATTTTCTTTTAAAGAATAAGTAACATAAGTAGACGCACTGAAATGTAAAATGGATTTTCCAGTGCTAGCAGCCAATTTTGATACTTTCACGTCAGTAACTTACCAAGATCCTTCACAGCAATTAATGAAAGAGAACAAAACACAACCTAACTCAAAATAACTTGGTGCTGTGGTTACATGGAATAATCAAAGCAGATGGTTGGTTGTTAGCAACCTTTTCCCCCTCTTCCCCTTCACAAACGTGAAACACGGAATGGAGGACGTGTTATGGCCTTGATGCATTTTGCTGAAAATCAACTTTTATACATTTTTTTTTGTGTTCTTTGAGCTGAATATGCTCTTCATTGTTGGAAATAGTTATTAGTTATAGAAGATAACTTTGTGATGGGTTAAGATCTAAAATGCCTTTGATTTGTAGACCTGAGCATTATATTCTTTGTTTCAGAACGCAGAGATCTACAAGCTGACATCTGAGCAGTACCAGGAGGCAGCCACGAAGGCAGAGGAGTGGATAAAGTGAGGAGATATTTTTGTTCTTTTCAGCAGTTCCAGTTGCATTTCATAATGCTCTGTGTGTAGCTTGTGGGTATTTCTGTAAATGGCATGTGAAGTTATCTACTGTCAGGTATTTAGGGGGCTGAGAAGTTGGAAGCTAGCATCCCCTCTTTCTGTGTCAAGCTTGACAGAATTTCGTATAAAGTTGTTTGATCTTGAAAGGGAGAATGAGGGAGAAGACATGGACTTAGAAAATTCACATTAGATAAGAATATTTACTAGGATTTTCAAAATGGAAATGGAACATGTTTAATCGGCTCCAACTTTGACCCAGTGTATTTAACCTACACATTGCAGCATCGGGTTAGTGCATGGGAGCAGGGGGAATGGCACCGCTTCTAAAGTTTTCATTGTCCAGGGAAGAAAAAGGTAAACAGTATAAATCTTAGCCCTGTAAATTTCAATCAAACCAGAGCTGTAATTATCATGAATGTTTTCTTAGAATGGGTGCAGTGATTTTTCTGGCCTTTTTTATTGGCCTTGGCACAATTAGTGGACCTTTAATGTTGTCATTTTACCATGAGCTTATTTAGTGTCTAAATTGCACTTTTATTTGCCAGTAGTGCTACACAGCTTATTGTTCCACATTCACTAACAGCTGTCCAAGAAAAAATATTTTCTATAATTCTTTAATATTAATGAGTCCAAAGCAATTACACTGTCAAGAGCAGCACTCGGATCTCAGTTGGGTAAACAGTTGGCCAACATGCAGTAAACTGGAGTAGCAACATATGTAGTCCAGTTGGGTCCAGTCCAGACTGTATGATACTTAATTGCATAAATAGATAATATAGTAGTGATGAATATGTTAGTGGGGTGTGCAGTATATTGTGCTGTCTTTATTTAAAATCATATTTGGCTGCCAAAGCATCACATAACCTGTTGTAATTTCACATTTTTGTTTGGACAGTCAAGCAATAAGTTGCTAAAGAAGCCAAAACAGGGCAGCTAACACATTGCGTACATTTTCATGCAGTTTTCCATAGTAGAATTCTAAATTCTGTTTTTAAATAAAATTTTTAAAATTCATAGGATATAAAGTTCTGACAGTCTTTGATCAGTTCAGTCTTTTCCTGGATTTGCTTCTGCAGATGTGTGATTAGTTGTTGGGAACACAGGTAGCAATGATTTATCCTTGTGACTTTGTAAAGGAAGAGATTATGACCTTGAACTATGTTCTTTACTTGCTATTACAGACTGTAACTAACCTATTTTTTATAGTAGTCCTAAATTTGGTTCCTGAAATTTCAGTTCCATTTGGTCTCTTCTGTTTCTTGTGGAGATAAAGACTGGTAATGTAGGAAACTCAGGAATGCAACCTTTTTTCATAAAGGTGAGTGGCTGAGACCAATGCAAATGCTAATGACTTCTTTCAAGATTCAGAAAGTGTGTTTATGGTCTCTTAGGGGTTCCTTCCCTTTTTTTTTGAACCTTCATCATCTGCCAGTCCCTGGCTTCTGGCCTTATTGTGCATTGCCCTTCTATTTGATGGCCATATGAACTTGAGCCATCATAAAGGAACAGATTCCTTAGGCTGTCTTCCTTGCAGCCAAAAGAGTTGCCTTCCCTAATATGAATTTTGTGTGAAAAGACAACGTAGCTGGTGCCTTGAGAAGGGACAAGCTGTGTGGCACTAGTGGAACTGAGGGAAAAGGTAAACTTCATACTTTATATTTCTTTAAGTTAGAAATTGCCAGCAATAGCCAGGATTGCACTGAGCGGCATGTTGGAGTGCGCCATCTGGGATTGATAATGCCTTTTGATAATTGTACACGCAGGAAGAATCATTGCTTTATCCCATCAGCCTGCAGTGTACACATCCCTTACAGCAGTATGCAGTGATACTTTTTGGGATTGTTGCCTCAGTGTACAACACGCTGTACAAACACTCTTTAAGAGTGCACATGCATCGTGTGTGGGTCATAAGGCTGGGACAGGGTCAGGTAAACTGCCTGTATACATTGGGATTCATGCTTAATTGGTAGGACTTGAAGTCTGCATGTTGTGAGGTCCTCTTGTTAGGTGTTGTATGTTCAAGTCTTTCTACAGCCTGTTTATGGCAATAAATTACAAGATCCTGTGACTTCAGTGGGAAGAATAGTTTGCGCATCCTGTTTTGCACTTTCATACTAGACATACAAGTGCAGTAAGCGCTAAGATAGGTAAGACTGATTTATACAGATCTAGTAGCTTGGTTGGCAGGAATAAACTGACACTCCAACAAAATTACATGAACTGGAATATAGCCGAAGTATGAATGAAGCACAGGTCTGCCTGTTTCCAGTGCTGGACTATGACAGCTCCAGTAACAAAGGAAACTAGGAGTGTCACTTTTTCCATCTGCATAGGAGATCTCCTTCCTGTAGTTTCTTTTCCCTAGCTTATATTATCCCTGTTTCACTGTGAGGTCTTCGACTTGCCCTTGGCACTTGTGCCCTTTGAGACCAGTCTACCTTGTATTTGTTGTCTTCAGCCATTGTGTATCAGCATAGCTGATGGAGGAAGACAGGAATAGAGCTGTGGCTCTTTCCACAGTAAGTACTCTGTTTTTGGAAATCCATGTTGAAACAAAGATAAGAAATATCTGAAATAAAACCCCAATGTTTTCTTGGCACTTACTGACTTTTGTAATTCTGTTATCAACACTGACAGCTCTGCACGAGTGGTCAAGTGTTCCATGGACTATTTCCTCAGTGATTATCAAGCATTGCAGGATTTAGGAATATTGTACAAGTTTTCCACCAGTGACCCTTCACAGCATGCCTGTGAGTTAGGTAAACCTTCCTATCTCCCTTTGTATAGAAACATAAGTGAAGTGCTTAGTGCTGACCTTCATATTAAATCACTGACATGGTTGTTAGCTCTTGGTTTCTACTTCAAGGTGGGACGCTAGGCTTGATGCCTGCGTGGCCTGACCCGTGCAAGGGACTTCATTCCTCATCTTCTCACCTGAACCCAGCCTGCTTCCGTCTCTGCGTTCCTTATGCCACAGTGTCTCCTTCTTTGTTCTGGGCTCTGTCCAACCTGTTTCTTTCTCCCAGGAAGATCATCCTAGCAACAAGAAACCACTGAGCACAGCTTTCAGCACCTTAAGCAGCTTGCCCTTGTTGCTTACATGCTGTGGTGAATTGGACAGTTACCACGGACATATTGTCTCAATGATGTTATTATAATTGGTGCATTATTATTTTTCCTTTTTGTTAACCAACACAATTGAAGTCTGGGGACCTAGAACTTCTTTCCCCCTTCCTTCCCTGTTTAGCAAACTGTGCACATCAGTAACCACCCACAAAGGAAGAAGCGTGTAAATAAAAAGCCAGTGCTCCCCACCCTTCACTTCGTTCCACATCCTTTTCTCAGTGTTCATAGAGCCATGACTCAGACTGGGTTTAGAGAAGACAACTTGCTAATCCCCTCCCTGCTACAGAGAATAAAATGGCATTTCATTCCAAGCTCTATTAATGTGCTCGCTCCGGGGATAAAGCAGCACTCCCAAAAGGCAGTGGCCAAATTTTTTTTCTGTTGCATTGTCTTTGTCTTCTTTTGAGTGTTACATTTAGATTAGCTTCTGAGGATTAAATGTTATTACAGTCCCTGAATCTGTTAAGAGGAAGGAAAAAAACATCAGTAAAGAGGTTATGGCTTAGTGCAGGCACTCTAGATTTATCCTCAAAATGCTGTTTTTTTAAAACTTGATTTATTTTATTTTGTGAAGGTTGTCTTATCGCGTTTTTATTTTATTTTTGTAGTTGTTAAATTTGGATGCAAGAATTGGCATGGGTAGGGGTGTGACTTTCTCTAAAAGGTAAAGCTGCAGGAGTGGGGTGAGGGGATTAGGAAGCTGTTAAAAGATAAAATTGTTTTGAAGCTGAGTTTCCCTCCGAGATCTCCTTATAGTTTACAGAACTGTTTCTGAAGCTGCTTACTGATGGCTGTGTGGCTTTGCATGTTGTGCTGAGAGGACTGCATGTGCTTTGCACTGTTATCAAGGAGTGCATAAAGAATGTTGGTATCTTATCCTGATAGAGATCAGCCTTGAATCCAAGGAGAAGCTTTCCAATGGAGAAGCTGCCAAAGAGATTTACTCTGTATGGGACTTAGTATCTAAGAGTTCCATTTAATGGTCCTAAGATATTTAAACTTAATGGACATGAGTATTTAAGGTGATTACGTTAAAGAAACCGACAAGTAGTAAGAATCCTCCTGGGCTGGATGTGGAGTAGAAAACCACACTGACTCAATGGGAGTAGGGGCAGAAAGTTCATAGATGGACTGTCTGCTGGGAACAGGGAATTTATGTCTTGCTTTCAGTACTCATGGAAATGAAAGTTTTATTGAATTGCACAAGATTTTATGAGGCTGATGACCCCTCAGTTAAAATGGCAATGCTAACTGGAACCTAGAGGAACTAACTGTTCTTTTTTTCTTTTTTATTTGCTTGTGTGGATCTGGAAAGTTTATAAGGTAGTTATGTGGTAATACTTGAGTTTATTAGTCTTGAAATCTACTATGAGGACTCAGGTGTTTCAACAGGGGGCTGTGCCCAGGAGTGAAGCCCAAAGAGAAGGGTAAAGACATAGTTTTCAAACAAAATTGCTCTGGGATTTCTCCTATCATTAGATTAGATAAATGATTAATTTAGGGTTGAAATTAAGAGCCTCTGGAATACGGATTTAAGAGTTTTCAGAAATAAAAGACTAATTACTGCTGGGAACTCATCACCAGCCTTATCTCAACATAGTGCTTTTTTTGTGCCCTGCAATGATGGTACCTTCACAAAAAATGGTTTGGCTCCATCCCAGTCCTGTTCTTCCCTCAGAGGTGGGTTTGTGCTCTTAGTTCCTACTTCTGTCTGTGCTGATTCTGTTTCATGTAGACTTTAAATAGAGAGGCGCGTTATTAGTCAAAGCTTTGCTTTTTCTCACATTTATAAAGTCGTTCTTAGTAGGAAATTGGAATAT